CCCTGGAGCTAAGGGGAGCTCCATCAGACCTGCTGGTCACTAAGTTCAGATATCGAGCACATGGCCATGGAGTCAGGAGATGACCTGCACGTGTGCTGAATGAATGAACGAACAAGTAAATGAACACCTGTGAGGAGCAGGAACCAACATTTACTACGCATGTGATGGGCATCATCACGTTGAAAAGGCCCCCCATCATCCTAGGGCAGACATGCCTACGTGACAGAAGAAACAAAGGTTCACGAAGATTGAGTATCTCACCCAGCTCGTGACAGATACAGCGTGGTGAAGGGAGGCATAAGGCTGATTCCTGCACAGGACCGAGTGGAAGGGTGGCTAGGGATGGGGCACTCCTTAGGATTGTCTAAAGAGGTTTCTTTAGTTTATCAGTTGTGGTAACTTGGGCACATCTGCCTCAGCTTTGTCCTCTGTCAAATGAGTGTAGAATGAGAACATTTGACCTAGACTTGCTGTGAGGAGACAAGGGCGTGAGGACCTCAAGCCTGGCACATTGAAGCGCCATCTTTGATGGTATTCACATGAAAAGACAAAACCCACTGCAGTCCAGAAAGCAGTGGTCTGGGGTCCCTAGCCCAGCTCTACCATCCTAGCACTTTAGCCTAAACATTATCTTATCTTCAAAGTTTGACCCAAGTCCTCATCACTTCCTCCAGGAGCTCAAGTCCCCACGGTCCCCAATCATACTCTGTCCATTGCACTGATGCAAGGGACATACACACGTCCCCCCAAACCTCCTCTTACAAGATCTAGGCCCCTCGCATGTCTTAATCACCACCTGCTCCCAGGAAGGCCCAGCCCAGAGGCTGGCACACAACAGGATTCCTGTCACCAACCGGTGTCCCAGACTAGACACACTGTGTAACCAAAGGCTCACAGCTGTTGTCACACTGTAGAAAGAGCACGGGCCCTGGAACTAAACCAATCAGGGAGCTAATCCTCTCTGTGGGAACTTGGAGCCTCCCTCTACCTGATCTGATAATGGGGGGGATTCTGTGGTTCTTCTGGGCCTTCTGACACTAACATCTAGAGCCTCCAAGGATGTGGGGAACCTGACTTTACAAGCCCTGGGAGCAGAAAATGGAATTCCCCCCAGAGCACGCTTACAGCATTCTAAAGCTAAGGGCATCAACCCTCTTGGTTTCTCTCAGCTCCTAAAAAAAATGAAGACATAGACATCCTCACTGCTCACTGACTAGAATGACAATTCCCCATGTTGTAGTTGTGTGCTGTCGAGTCGGAAGCAACTCACTGCCACCCTCCTGCATATTTTCAGAGGCTATCCATCCTTCTCCCCCGGAGGAGCTGGTGGATTTGAACCATGGACCTTTGGGACTGCAGCAAAGTTTCTTATCACAAGGCCATCAGAGCTCCCCCTGAGGAGGATGATTCTTATTGCTTGCAAAATGTTTTCCTGCGCATTTGTACCTCCCTGATTCCTGAAAATCATCCTCACTCTATAGATATTGAAAAACATAGCCCAGCGAGACCTAGTTAGAGTCAGGTAGCAAGCCAGGCCTTTGGGTCCCCACTCTTCCTTCCAGCCTTGGTGAGCTTCCAGCAAACTCCCATCACATGGTGTGGGAAACCATGAACCACAGTGGGCAAACAGGGCTCTGAAGGCCAAACACAGCTCATGTGTCTACTGAGCAACTGAAGCTGCATCTTAGAATCTGGGAACCCTCAGATATGAACAAACTTTCTAAGGTGGATGGATTCCGGAAGTCCTATGCATTCCTCTGGAAAACTCTCCTCAAGCCATCACAACCATCGATATTCTGGTGCATTTGCAAGTTGTTTTCCACAAATCCTACATCTTTATCCAAATATGTGAGGTCACTTAGCCATTCTTTGAATAACTCAAGTGATGCTCACTACATTCTCTGTATCAGCTCCTTGTCATTGAGAGAGCGGAACTTCCCCCACGCGAGCCCCAGAGCCGGCCTCATGTAACAGGAGATCCACCAGCACCATTCATTGAAGATGCACCCCCTTCCATGACAAGCCTAAGTGTCTCCAACAGCTGGGACATGAGCCTGAGCGGGGGCCTCCCACAGGACTGTCCTTCAACCTGAGCTGCAAGAGACTGTTATGGGACACACCAGGGATTTAGAGTCCTTCTCCTGGTGATTCAGTTTCAGCACCCTGGAAGCAAAGTGGCCCAGAGGGACTGGAAAGACGTCATGTATCTAATCCACTCTTACTCCATGCTCCGGCTGCCTGGAGACCTGACCTTGGGACCTGGGGCAGGTCCTTCCCTGCTCTAGCCTTAGCTTACCCATCTGTGGAATGCACAAACAGCTCCTGTAACAATGCTGACACTTGTTGTCCACTTGCACAGAGACTCTCGAAATTGTCATCCCGCCTCCGTGAGGCTGGCAGCCAAAGCAAACCAATGTCCAGAGAAGTTAAGGAACCAATGGAAGTGCACACGGTGAGAATATCAGCACAGCCCGGCCCCGCACACCCAGCTCACCCACCTCTTCCCTCTTTAGCCTTGGCATTGTTCCTCCAGCGCAAAGAGCTCTTTCCAGTCTCCTCTGACCTGAAATATTCTCACTTCATTCCTTGCTCAGCAGCCTCCACCTCACCCTTCAGCTTTTGGTCTCCCTACACACCCAGACTCCATTTTCACACCCTCAACAGCTACACCCTTTCCCCCTTACCATGATCCATAGGAGTGACTGCATAAGGTTGAACTTCTGTGCAACCCTAGTCTTCCAACTAGACCCTCAGTGCCATGGAAACACACACTTCATCCCTGTCACAATCTGTGCTAACACACAGTATAGGTGTTTTATAAATACGAATAAATGAATGGGGCCAGGAGAAAGAGCTGGGCCTGCTTCTGGTGTAGAGAAGGATCGATTCTGCCTCACAGTATCCACACCAGAACATGTTAAGTGCACATGGAAACATGTCCCATCATTTTAGGAGAACAGAATGGCAGCTACTGCGATTATGACATGCCAGATGACTGACTGAGCTTGTGCTTGCATTATCTCACTCGATTTTTGCTCATTCTATTCTGAAGGTTGGAAGTTATCTCATTTTTACAAGTGAGGAAGCTGAGGTCTAGAAGCTTTAAGTAACTTCCCAAGATCACATGCATAGCCAGCACCTTACAGATACCGAAGCTAAGGGGTATTTAGGGTCTGAGCATGAAACCTGAATCAGACGTGAAAGGAGGAGAGAGCGGGATGTCTCCTTTGAATTTGAGGTTAAATTCCCATCCCTGGGAATGTTTTCCCATTTTAACAGTGATGGATCCACAGGTGGGCTCCAGTGCTCTGCCTGATAGCTTTCTGGGATGTGCAGAGCACACAGGTGAGTAAACACCCAAGAGAGAACGTGGCCACTATGACCTCAGCCTCTCTTGCCTGCGTGAGCAACGGGGCATCAAGAACTGGCAGTAAGAAGCTCGGAATCTGAGTTCAGAACAACATAGATAGAGGTGCTGGAAGCCGCTAAGACCACCAGGAGGGCACACTCAAAAGACTCCCCGTGTGGCTCATCTCACTCATCCCCTCCGGCCCCACTTGCCTGGCTTTCTCAGGCTCTAGGCTGATTGAGCCCTAGGATCGAACTCTCGCCTGTTACAGTCAATGGAGCCTTCACCTTGTCCTCCCATTTGACAGAGGGTGATACTGAGGGGTGGCCTGGGGAAGAGGCTATAAAGGCAGATAATCCTGACTGTGACTCTGACCTTCTATTCTACAAGTTCTGATGGAATGCATGCTGGATGACAGGTCATAGAAAGAAACAGGGAGGGAAAGAGACCGTAGAGCAACATTAATAAGGGAGAAACCATTGGGTCAGAAGAGTTAGAATGCAAAGCAAAGTAAGTTCAGCCAGGTAGATATAAATCAGTGGAAGGCTGTTAAGTCAATGGCTCTTGGCCAGGGGTATTCTGGGTGCTGTGCCAGACCATCAACTGACAAGAGTGGGCGGCAATTCAGCCCCTTCCAGAACCTGGCTGAGCCAGTGCCATGAAGAGTCCACTCTCCCAGGTCAAGGTGGAGACTCAAAAGGGCTGGACTGTCCCCAAAGTTGTCACAGTGCCAGGCAGTGGACAGAGTCTAGCCTGCACCCAGTAAGTGGTCATATTCACCCCAAGGGTGGAGGTAAAGCCTGCCCTCCCGCATGCTGAAGTTCCCACATGACCAGGGAATGTCCCTTTCAGGCAGAAGCTTTCCCCTCTCACTGGAAACACCCAAAGGAAAAGCCATGAGGGGCCAATGAGGCTGCTGTGTGTCTCCGGGAGGACAGAAGACAGTAAGTGTAACTCTTCATCCTGTGCCCTTCACCCCGCAGGGTCATTCTGGGATTTGGGAAGCGGTTTCTAAACTGGTTCTCCCACGACATCATCCTCCCAGGCTGTGGGACCGTTAGACTGGGCGGAAGTCGGACTCCAGCCAAGGGGATGTTCCCAGATGTCATGCTTTCAAACTGGACCCGCCCTGGAAGGCAGGCGGGGACAGGCCTGCACGGGGAAAGCCCTGGGTAAGGACTCAGGATGGTGTTCTGGCCTTTGCTGGCAGCCTGTGGCTGCAACCACAGGGCGGGCACCAGAGTCCAGCCCACCCTTCCCTGGCAGCAGAATATATACCAGTCTGTCCCCCAAAAGTGAGGCCTGGCTTCTGGGCCTGGGGGTTCCAAGCAGCTTTGCACAAGTCCAATTCCTCACCGACCCCCTCCACACTCCCACCCACCCCAGCATTGTGGCAAAGCGGCCCCTTCCACCCAAAACAAATGCCACAAAGATTCAGAGGCCTGTGACCAATCTACTCGGGCAGTAACTTCTCTAGATTGCCCAAAATAAAGTAAGGGCAGAGAGTCCCCCAGATGGATCTCAGGGTGGTCCCTGAGGTTCAATGTGGGCCCGCTGGGTGGGAAAGAGGGTCAGCTGGTGCCTTGGGCCCGTGGGGACGAGACAACCGAAGCCTCCCGAGGGTCCCCACTGCCCCCATCAGCGCCCCCACCTTGAGATAGTCGTTCTCGGAGCGCAGCTCCTCCAGTTCTCGCACGAAGCCACCGGGGCCGCAGTCCAGCATCTCCTCAGTGAGGTCGGAGAAAGCAAGGGAGGCGCTAAGCGGGAGCCGGCTGCTGCCCACCGACGACGCGGCCACCGACGGCTCGTCCGGGGAGGCAGGC